CAAGTTTTCTTTATATGCAGTTGACATTGTCATTTTATAGTTTTGAGACCATAGTTTTTGCTATAAATTTTGGATATGGAATTGATTTAGAGAAGTGGCAAAAACTGCTAGTTATATTTCTGAGTCTAATTCCAAGATTTTAAACAGTTAGAACCAGTAATATATTGTTCTTCATATCAAGGCCTCATCCTATGGTCCCCTGTTCCTCTTCAGCAAATGAACAATCGAGAGTTCTATTATTACGCAGAATTTGGAGTTATCCAAAAATGCCCTTTGAGGAAATGTCCCAAATTCTAGATATGTTCTGACATAATGTCCATAAAAACAGTGAAAAGATGTCCTGTTAATATACTTCTTCATTCCCTGTTTGCTTTTCCTGAATTTCTCTGTGTGTGCTTCCTCTGAGTGGCATGTCTGGAAGTGATTTCTAGTAACTCAATGGAACAAGGCATTTTAATGTTTTTATTTTTTCTTGCTTCAATAATTATTACTCGTGTTTTCTGCTGAAAATATGCCCTGAAAACTGCATATCGTAAATGATGCATAAAACTATCACAAATCTATGAACCTAATCAACAGAGCCAAATAAAAGCTATTGAAATCAAGTTAAAGAGAATCCAGGAGTTAAAACACATTGAGATAATAAGCAAGAAATGCTTTTTAGAAAAGTCAGGTTTTCACTTGAAGCCAGTATGGGGAGCAAAGATGAAAACCCACAGGATAGGCATCTATAAGATGGCTGAGACTATATGGATTAATAAACTCTGCACATTCTCATCTCTAAAAGAGAAAGGATAAGGAGATGAACATCTCCTGCAGATAAATGAGAATGGGGCAGAACACAAGAGAGAAGATATCTCCTAAGCTCACAAACCTTGGATAATCTCGGTAATTGCTGATCAGAGTTGTTGCAATTATGTAAAAACTTGAAAAGTTTGAAATGTTCACATTATCTCAGAACAACAAGGACAGGCAGTTTTTTCAGATAGACTTTTTGACAAGTCCAAAAAGTAGGCATGGCCAAGCTACAAATTCCAAAATTCTGGTTCAGTCTCTCCCATTCAAAGACTGAATCGTATTTAATCCTAATACTTTCAAAGTACTAAATTTGATAAATAACTGCAGCCAACAACATTTAAGAAGTAATTCATGTAGTTGAATTTCAGGGCAAGCATAGGTGGTTCACTTTTGCTTTGGCAACAACTCTGTACAATATGTAGACTAGTTTTATTATTCTCATATTACAGAGAAGGGGCTGAGAAGTAGTGACTAGCTCATGGTGAATGTTGAGCTCATTCAGCCAGTCATCACATTGCTTGGGCCATCTCAATGAAATCTCACAATAGAAAGTTCATCATTTATCATTCATCTGCCCTTCAACAGTATAATTATAGAGACTAAATGTCCATAAAGCAGAACCTTTTGGAGATTAAGGTCACACTTGGCTTTTAAATGGCATGTTGGGAGACATACTCCAAAAAGTAGGTGGGATCAGCACAAAAAATGTAATTTTTACTTTAATTTTAAACTTTAAAATGAAAATAATTAAATATAGTTAATAATTAATATAATTACAGTTAATAATTAATATAATCACTCCTCACATATTTACAATTGTTCTCCTTCTTGTCACAATAAATATTTCAATTCAGGGCAACTTTTGGAGGAGCTGTAGGGGTCACGCATAAGTTTTTGGAAATGATGAGGGATACATAAGATCCCAAGGCCTTGGGTCATACATTCTTGGCTATAAAGCAATATTTAGCATAGTATATATTAGGGGATGCTCAGTTGAAGTTTATAATCTCCAGCTGTGTCCTGGGCTATCATAACTCCCCTGCCATTCATTAAGGCTCCAGAAATAGCTTCTACCTCACTCATCATTATTTCTGTATGTTTAGTTACAATTCAGGTAAGGTGAACTCTGTACTGCTGAAATTATAGTGCTATTTGCAATTAGCATCTGCTACTATTGCTTAATAAACCTGGTCCAATAGAGATAGGATATTTTAGCAAAGGCTGAGCTGGCATTGATATAATTTCCCAGTTAGGAGAGCTGCAATAAACATTGCTGGAAAGAACAGCTGAACTTTCTCTAAAGAATGCCAGAGATAATACTGGATAACAGAAGTGGCTGTATATGGTAGCGCTGGTCAAAATACTCCCTCGGCTCTCTACGGGAAGTTGTTTGAACATTCACCCTTTTTTTTTTTCCACATGACAGACAAAACTTCACAAGATGTTTCCAAGATAGAAATCAGGGTTTTCTTCTTGCAGAATTAGACATCTGAAGATTCAGAATAGTATTGGGCACCAATGGTCTAGGCCTATGTGTATCTATTCAAAAGGAAACTATGTGCAATGTTATGGGGCTTACTCTTAGTGAAGTGTATCGCTTTTATTTCTTTATCCAGAAGAGTGTGAATGAGTAATGTGTTTGTTAATGAAATAGTGTCAAATAGAAAGATGGCTCCTCAAACCAAGAGTTATTTTACGGTCTCCCTCAGGGTTCCAGTCTGTCTCCAGTATGGACATATGCACTCAATATCCATATGAAATTGCTGGGCCAGTTCATCAGAGGATTTTAAGCAGGGTGCTACCAGTATTCTTTTAAGTAAAGGTGTGGCTCTCCTGAAGTCAATATTGGGTTGGATGAGCGACAGTAAATTAAAGCTGAATCCAGATGATGCAGAGGTACTGTCAGGA